GGCACCGCAGAGCAGCTCGTCAACACGTCCTCCCCCTCCTCGAGCGCGCCAACCTCACGCCCGACGTCGTCCTCGCGACCGCGCACCCAGGCCACGCCGGCGCGTTCGTCACCACCCACCTCGAGGCGCACGCAGGGCCCTTCACCGTCATCCTCGCCGCGGGCGACGGCACCCTCCACGAGATCATCGAGGCGCTCGTGAACACCGCGCCCAAGGGCCAGCGCGCCGCCGCGCCCCCCGCCAAGCTCAACTTCGCCCTTATCCCGAGCGGCACCGCCAACGCGCTCTACGCCAGCCTCTTCCCCCGCGCACCCACCGACGACGACACCGCCTACAAGCTCCGCAGCGTGCAGGCCCTCGTAGACGGCCGCCCGAGCGCGCCGCTCACGCTCGCGCTCACCACGCTGCAGTCCCCGCCGAACAAGCGCGCCCCGCCACGCGTCGCCGTCTCCGCCGTCGTCGCCTCCACCGCCCTGCACGCCGCCATCCTCGCCGACTCCGAGGCCCTCCGCGCGGAGCTCCCCGGCCTCGAACGCTTCCAGCGCGCCGCCGCGCAGAACCTCGCGCGCTGGTACCACGCGTCCGTCAAGCTCTTCCCCACCGCGGCCGCGGGCGTCGTCGAGGTGTACGACCCCGCGGCGAAGGCGTTCGTGCCGCACGCGCAGAGCACGGAGGACGACCCGATCGTCGATCTCGCCGGCCCGTTCGCGTACTTCGTCTCTGTCGTGAACGTCGACAGGCTCGAGCCGCAGTTCAGGATTGCCCCGCTGTGGCGGGATGCGAAGCCCGAGGGCGCGGCGCTGGACGTGGTCGTGCTGAGGCCGGAGCGCGACCCGAGCGTGCAGATGGACTCGGAGGAGACCAGGGAGGCGTTTTCGGAGAAGGTCAAGGGCGTCATGGGCGGGGCGTACCAAGACGGCGCGCATGTCGGACTCACGTACACGGACGATGGCTGTGTGCTGGAGAGCGGCGAGGGATGGCCAGTCGTGGAGTACTTCCGCTGTGCCGGCTGGGAATGGGAACCTGTGAGTACACACATATGCTGTCTGTAACCAAACTCATGTTTACGCCGACAGGATGACATTGACGACCGGGCACATCTCGTCTGCGCGGATGGCGACATCCACGAGATTGTGAAAGGCGGAAAGGCGACATGTACCGCAGCAACACCTTCCGACGACAAGTCCGGGTTCGGAGTCTACGTCTAGACATGGTGGAGTTGGTCAAGGAAGTGGCTTGCGCTCAAAATACGGACCAGGAGCATTTGTAGTTATAGATCGATAGCGTGTACGACGTGCGACAGAGAGGTATTAGTCTTGTGTATTCTGTGAACGTCTCATCAGGCTCATCCCTGCTTCTATGTGCCCATCACCGGGTCCAATCGTGTATAGAAATGCGATGTCCTTATGCAGTGACGTTGCCACTCGCCTGACCGGAGAAGACCTCCTCTACGACTGCCTTTGCTTTCTGGTGCACCTCCTCGATGGTAGCGGTCGCATCGATCTGATATATGCAGATGGTTAGGCAAGGATGCGCCAACGGTGCATGGCGCACATACCGAGGCGACTTTGTGCAACTTGGTGTAATGCTCAATGACGGGCATCGTCTGCTCCTTGTAGACACCTGCGAGACATCAATGCTAGCCTTGATGTGCAAGGCACATGGACGTACGGAAACGCTTCTTGATGCTTTCTTCGTTATCATCCTCCCGGCCGCTAGTCTCGCCCCGCTTGAGCAACCGCTTCGACATCTCCTCCTCCGTCGTCGTGAAGAACAGCACCAGCGAGCTCTCGCACACCTGCCGCCTACTTCAGCGCATCCATGTCTCGCACCGACATAGCTCAGAGCGCACCTCCTCGTCGAACTTCACCGCCTGGTCCATCTTCCGGGGGAACCCGTCGATGAGGAAGCGACCCTTGCCATCCGCCCAGCCCTCGCCGGACCGACTCTCAGCGACGGTGGCCTTCATGGCGTTCTCGAGCAGCTTGATCGTCACCTCCATGGGCACGATCTGGCCCTCCTTGATGTAGGTGCGGATCATCTCGCCATACTCGGAGCCCTCGCGGTTCTGCTCCGCCCGGAGCAGGTCGCCAGCTACGTGTTCCGCATTTGTTAGGACTGCGCACGGAGCAGACGCTCGAGAACACACCAGAGAGGTGGCAGAAGCCAAAGTCGTTCACAAGGTTGGCGCACTGCGTGCCCTTGCCTTGGGTAGACGGGAGACGTTACAGCGAGCGTCAGCAACGTGGTACGTGCGAGCCTTACCGGCACCAGGTCCGCCCAGTACGAAAATGACGGTGACCTTGCTCTTGTCAAAGACCTGAGTCGTCTTCCCCTCCGTCGCGCTCATCCCAGGTGCGCTCGTAGCGGGGACAGCTCGTTGATGCTCAGCGTGTCCCGCATCGGTGTGCGCATGAGCGCAGAGCCCGGTGTCGCTGCGACTTCGCGTGGCGTGGCGGCGCCGTCGGTACCGCCAGCGTGCATGGGCGTCGCGAGGGGATTGGGCGTGAACACGACTTGGTGCCGTGGCGTCGCGCCTTCGAAGCCGGTGCCTCCGGTGGGGTCGGCGTGGATAGGTGTATTCTCGTCGCCAAGCAGAGGCGTCTGCGCAGCCATCATGTTGCGTAGATTCTGGGCCTCGGACATGACATTGTCGTCTGCGATATCCCGATGTCAGGAAGTAACAGGCGTAAGGTGAAAATCGAGACGTACGTTGTACCTGTGTTCTCGGTGTCCGCGCCATACGTGCCCTCTTCAGACCCTCGAATTCGCTCAGTAACCTATTGCTCGCATCGCTGCCACCAGCAACCAACACTCTTGGGCTTCCGACGACATCTCCTTCTCTGTGCAAGCAATCAATGACTGAAATGAGACTACCCTTATCGAGCTCACCGTCAATGGGGTCAGGCCGCGCAGGCTTCGTCTCCGGGTCAGGGTCGATCTCTCCCGGCCTCAGCTTCCTCACGTCGTCCGCACTCGGCCCCGCCTCCTCTCCCGGACCAGCCAGACCAAGCTCCTCGTGTTCCTTCGTCTCCGCCTCGTCAAGCAGCTTCTGGTACCGCTCGAGGCACTGCGTCGCAGTGCGCCCGACGATCGGCGCTATTGTGCGCCATTCGGTGGGCATGAGCTTGGCGAGGTGCAGCAGCTTTTCGTCCTCGGTCTTGGACCATTCTGTTTTCTTGATGGAGGGGTCGAGCCATTCGTACCACCGGGCCTTGCACTGCTTGGGGGTCTTCCGGACGAGCAGCGAGGATATGCGGGCCCTGCGGTGAAGTGTGTGAGGCAACTGGGAAGAACTCGAGCGCGGCAAGACTTACCATTGGTTCTTCCCGTACTTTGCGATGGCGGCCTTGAGAACCTCATCTTCGGTGTTCTGAGAAACGTTGTTAACACGCCTGCATCAAGTCGAACAATGGACGTACGCACTTTCCACACATCTACCAGTCGCGGCGGGTATCCGAGTTGGTGGTCGTGTTCTTTCCATAACGCTCGCCCTAGTCGTCTTTTACCTTACGCACTTGTCTCGTAAGGCTCGCGTCAACCTACGGGAACCGATGCAGTGTAGAGACGAGTACTCACCTCGGCCTAGACTGTTGGCGTTGTTGAACACGTGGTCTCCGCTGGTCAGTAGCAGCGACCGTGTGGGCACAGCCTGCAGGCGTGACGAGAGCCAGTTTGGGGCTCTTCGTGATGTCGTCTTCGCGACAAAGTCACGCCCACATTGGCGTTCGACGCAGAGCGACTGCGCGTGTTATCGCGTACCGCAGTGAGAACCCCATGGCAGCATGTTCCGAGGCCCGGAGACACCTCTGAGCCTCCCTCCTAAGCGTCCGTCCACCATTCCGGACAGACCATGCACGGTGCAGTGGTACCTCTCTCCAGCTCTATAGTGGGTCCCGTCACTCACCGCACACCCCCGGCACCCGCATCCACCGTGTCTTGCCGACGCCCACATTCATCTTCCACTGTACGGCTCGCAATGACGCGGCCGTGACCGGGCCTCGAGTCTCGAGACGGGTAGTTAGCGGTCTGCTTCAGACACCGTGGACAGCGTCCCGCCGGACCTGCCGACCTCGTCCAATGGCATTGGCTCGTGAGTCCGGCCCCGCACGACCCGTAGCCAGTGACGGTGGTACACGTCCCTGCGGCCGACGTCTTGAGATGGCGGTCACCGATGATGTTGAACGCGCATGATACCCGAGCGGCCTCTCCGGGCTTGCGGGCGGGACCATGAGTGCGTCGTCAAGGCCCGCGAGGAGGCACACGCACCCACCGAAGCTCACGTCTCACGGCGGGGACCGACAGGAACTTGACGTGGTTGGCGGACACAGGCGAGAGACGTCCAATGGACCGAGTGAGGCGGTCAGTGTTCATGCGATGGCAACGATGCAGACGTCGGAACTGTCGTGGAACACAAACCAGCTGAGCTGCCAGTGCTTGCACGTCACGCATGCTGGCCGGTCGTGCTTAGGCTGTCAGTACTTGTCAGTGGTCACGGCGATCTGGACGTTGTGTACGCGACCACGTGTCTTGGTCGGGGGACGCGCGACGGTCTCTCCGGCGCTCCTTTGGCCCTGTGTTCACCGGCGTCGTGTCGCACTACTCACCGGTCTGACCGTCTGCCTTCCTTCACCGCCGCTTGATCTTCCCGCCCTGCTGCTCCTCTACGTCTGCCGTTCTGCGCCCGTGACGTCGATGGGTCGCCACGTCGTCTCAACCGTCGCATGCACCCCGCCCTCGCTGCCCGAATCGCCTTCCTTCTCTGCGACACTCGCACTCATCGAAGGCTGCTCGGATGATTCGGGACGCACCGTCCGCCAGCGCACACCTCCGCCGCGTCTTCTCAAGCGACAGTCTCGTTGCACGTGCCTTCGCCGGGATTTCGCACACAGAGCTGGTCAATGGGGTCCGAGGTGTCGGTGAGGGTAGCCCAGTAAGTCGTCGTGGACTGTGCGGTCTCGAGACTGACGATCGCGCGAGAGTAGTAGCTCCGAGTCTTGCGACTTCACTCCGCGAGTCAACAATCTGGGCAGTCGATCACGTCGCCCGTGCCGCCGATCGTCACACAGAAGACGACCTCTGGGACGCGCACTGGGGAGCCGCGACGATGTCAGGCACAGCAAGGGACGTGGAACCGGTGGACGTGAGCGGCAGGGGAACAGCGGCAAGGCACGTACGTCGTATATTGACCTCGTGTGCACCCCGCTTGCCGACAATGACCGCCTGTTGATTGACAGGGGCGGGACGCTGATCTGCACACGAGAGGACGGGGCTGCAGATGCGAGGCCTCGCGTCCAGCATGGTACCGGCCTCGCGTCTAGGCGCGAACTGCGTCAGAAGCATGTCAGGGTAGAGGAGAGCCCGAAACGCGCACGGTAAGCATCGTCAGTGCAGCCGAAAGCCGATGTGTACTAACCTGTGGTCGCCATTCATCACGTCGATCGCTCTGGGCGACATATTTCACTGGGGGAATATGCCTGTTCGACGCGAACACCAGCCGAAGTCGAGAACACTTGACAATGCGACGTACCTGCGGAACTGCCGTAACAATCTGGGACACCGTTGCATGTCCGAAGAGCACGCAAGTGTAATCCAGGGATTGCGCCTGCAGCATGACTTACAGCGAGGAGAGATGCGTGTCAGCCGCGCACATGAAGACAGAGAACATCAAGAACGTACCACCTGACAGAACGGATGTGACGAGTCGAGATGAAAGCACGGGATGACGAGAACGAGGGTGAACGCGGAAACAGGAAGACAGAGACTAGAGACGTGTACACACAGACAGCACACCGTTCCCGGAAAGAGAGAAACTCATCTACCGAGGGCGTTGCACGACGTCGTCGTCTGCTCGAAGGGAGCGTGTCGTATCAGTGGCGTGGCCCATTTCAAGTTGATTGCTGACGAAGTCCAGCGTTGGACCGGCCCGCGGCGCCAATGGATTGGTACATACCGCACCTTCAAGTCGTGACTAGAGTCGACGGCCTGCCATAAGCATGTGAGCACAAATGGAGCCGCAGTGAATGCGCTGTCGACTCGGACGTGATAAGTGTTGTGGACCACCGGACAGCACATTGGGCATGGGCAACAATCGTGACCACGACGAAAATGCCACCCCATACGATGACTCGGGAGCCGGGTCGTTCAAGATCGTGAGTATCGCGATCTGAAGCAGCCGACCCTCGTCGCTGCAACCAAAGTGGTCCAGTTCGCCGCACCGGGGGTAACGGCGAGCAGCCCTCTGCACTCGTGCTCTGCGCACTCGGCTCATCGACAACACGACTCGCCGGGCCTTTCCCGGGCTGCAGAAACCGCACGGGACGACTGGACAAGCTCGTCCAGGTCTGAGCAGGCGACCCAGAGTATCATCTACCCGACTCGCTTCATGTGCAGCCCCCGCACCGAACGCAGCGTGAGTCGAACCCAACACACACGGGCGGAGGATCAGCATACGGAAGACAATCGAGACGCATACCGAATCTCTTCTGCGAGTGACATGTGTTGTCGGCATGCTATGACATGAGTCGACACGGTACGCCGATGAGTAGGATCGGCGCCTCACCTGCTACGGCTCCGTCAAGGTGTCCCGCTCTGGGTGGGTAGTGCAAACGCAACCATTCGTCTCCCTAGATCTTTGGAGACGAGTGGTTACGACTGGGCACCGCTCCGCTGCTAGATGCTGTGCTATCACATCCGCCAGCCATGGCGCCGGGAGACGCCACTTGATGATACAGCAGTCTCTGTCACGGACAAGGGGCGACATGAGTGATAGTGAACCAGATGACCAACGAGATGTAGACTTACCCGTAGTGTACGGAGTCCCTGAATAGAACAGAACCGATTTCCGAGCCACCTGACGTAGCTTCGAGCGAATAGTAATAGGTCTAGTCAGTTCAACGCGAGCGAGACAAGATCAGATATCTTACCCGCAATACGAGCTTACCCATGACGCGGATCATTTGATATAAAGGTAGCAACTTGTGGTCATACATACCAGCGGCGCAGAGAGTGTGTTGCTGGACGTGAACATCGCTCGGGTTGCTACCTCGGCCATCGACACGGAAAGCGGAGACGCGAAGTAATAGAGCCGACCAAAGTTGAAAGGCGGAGTGCAATACATCGTAAGCAGATTAAGTACAGAAAGTGAATGGCACGAAGGTAGAAGGCGGAGAGAGGATGAATGACACAGGGTGAGCAAGACCGGCTTTTATACCTTGTACCTTCTGTGGGGTGGTCCGTGCGTCGCCAGCATGCCGCGCAAAAATCGTACCATGTCTTGGCACCGCCCAGAAACGGTCTCCCATACCCGCTACCCGCCGTTCCCTGGCGTCGCTTGCAAACTCCGGACAAGTGCAACCGCTATTTCCTCGTCCCTAGCGATTTTCCAAGCGTCGGAAGGCAACGCGGACGTTCCGATTGATGCATCACGTTTGGGCGCTCTGCGGAGCGCCGTCCGGAAGTTTTACACGAGCGAGAATATGTTGCAGCGTGCGTATGCTGCTCGTACAGAGGTTGCCCTTGAATCGGTGAGCTGAGTATTCTTGCCCTCTGCGAGTGAGTGTCGGCCACATACCTTGCAATATATGTACTCTCGATCATATGCACAGGCATACGGAGTCGAACGTCGAGGACATTGAGGCACAAGAGCCAGGTAGCACTGCAGGAGCAGCAGAATGGATGATCGCGCGCAGAGGAAAGGCATAAGCGCCCGTGCAGAGCGGTTGAGAGCCTCGTGTTCTGAGATCGGATCGAGTGATCTCGCGCCGTTCTGGGCGGCGCGCGATGTCTCTCGCGCGTCCTCTCCCCACCGTGCATGCTGTACACGGCCCGTCTCGACGCATCTGGATGTCTCTCTCGGAGACGTCTGCACCCGTGCTTCCAGGCATGAAGCTGCAGTGTCAGGGCACAAGTCATTGGGCCATGGAGCACTCGACTACGGCGGGCGACCGTGAGCTCGCGCCTTTGCGGGCGCGGCGAGCCTGAGGTACGCGCACAGGCCCATCGAATGGAACGATGTGACGTGGTGTTCTGACTGAACACCATTTCAGGATAAAGCCGCTGTATGATCGCGGAGACTTAGCCTGCCGAAGTGACACGCGCGCTTGCCCGAGGGCCTCGCCGCCTCGGAGCCAAGTGGCACTCACACGACGTCTGATTCCACTTGCGGAATGTAGCCGCGGAAGTGAGTTACCCTGCATGTACATGGCAGTATTTACAAAATGGAACATCTATGTACTTGGGAGAGTTAGTCTAGGACATGATCTGCTCAAGGGTACCAGCCAACACTGGAAAATTCAGGATTGGCTGATAGCCTTGGGCAGACAGTGTCCTCACGATGTGCAGCCGCTGAGGTGTCGGGGGAATATCCCCGATCGTCAAGGGTTGGATTTGATGGATGAGGTCAGCCTTCTGGAGCGGCATCCCGAAGCAGACAGCCGAGATAGATGATAGATCAGCTCACCAGTATTTCCTTTTTTGTTTGTGCTGACAGCTTGAGTACTTGACTGTTATATGTGAGTGTTCCTATAATATGCCTGACTGAGCAGTCAATATTTTGTTTGTGAGGCTTGAGAATGGGGAAATACTGCATACTGAGCCTGAGTGAGGAATCGTGCCATACTGGGTCTGAAACACTCAGCGGCTAATTAGCCACCATCAGCCGCTCATACTCAAGGCGGTCTTGACCGCCAGTGCCCGAATTGGGTGAACAATGGGCAGCCAGGCATAGCCCGAGGCCGAGGCATGCCCACCCGCGGAGTCGGGTAACTAACTCCAGTATATATACAGGAGCATGTCTACCCTCCGCTCACAGAGCCAAAGCTATGCCAGCCCGCCACGGTAAGTACAAGAACTGATCCGTTCTATTGCTTACACTGACTGTTTCATTCATAGGCCCTCTCGACAATGCTCGAAGCCGGGCAGCACAAGACTCAGTAAGTCGACTCACAGTTCACATAGCCCTGGTACTGACTGTCCTTCGTAGGTGATTTTCGCCGACACACATAGTCGGCGGGCGATGTAGGCTCATGGTTGGCGAGGCTGACCAGGTGAGGTTTCCCGGCCACCCTCACCTCGAGCCACACTCACCAGTGTCCTGTTTCACGGGCGATCACTCAGAGCATGCACAAGTATCTACGCACACAACGTACAATTCCGACCGGAGCCCGATTCTGAGCTCATTAGACAGTAGCAAGCGAGGCGCACGGTACGCTGTTCATCGAGTCTTCACTGGGTATCTAGTACTTACCCCTTGTCCGGACAGCCTGGCTCTCCGGGACACTACCAGGACACCCCGATACCGACACCCAACCTCTTGTATCCATCACGACAGACCGCCGTAGGCCGGACGAACGACGCTGAGGATTATCACCGTCCGGCTGTTGACTGTCCCAGGTACGTCAGCGAACTCGTCCATGTTCTGACCTCATCCTGAGCCGTAACTGTCAACAGCCATCGTACACGCGTGTCGCACATCGGTCCGCAACCCTACCCACGCATACCGCTCGCGCATCGGCCCTACGACGAGCTGACCGCGCCGGATCTGGTCTTGCTGCTCATCCCGGTCCAGCTTCCCGTGTCTGTCTCGCCAACGACGTGTCCTCGGCCTTGTGTACGTTCGCACACCGAACGCGTCTGTGGTTGAACTGGGACCTACCTCGTCTGCGCACAAGGGGCATGGCCGCGACGCGCACGCCGCCATCCTGTGCGGAACCCTCCCACAGCACGACTACGTACGGCTGCTACGCATCGTGCCTGCCCTCAGAGTCTCCCCGGTACGCCGCCGCACGCGAGCATTCGGGCTATCGAATACACGACGTATCGCCGTCCGGCGAGCTGGCCACGGGGTGCCCTGTTCGCGCTGCGTCGACGTGCACGCTGCGGCTCGTTGCGCTACGCCAGCCACAGGCCGCCGCCTTGGGAGCACTCGTGACGGCGCAGTGCGAGGCCGTTGCGACGAGGTTCGTGGTCATCCAGCAACCGAATGAGCTCTGGAGAGCTGATCCCGCGCTGCGTCTGTCGGCGGGAGTACCTGGGTGCCGCATCCGACGTGCCCGCCATCGTCTCCGAGGCTTTGGCGTCCGGACGATCGAATACACAACATATCGTCGTCCGGCGGACCGGCCACGGAGCACGCCTGTCGACGCACACGCCACCGATCCTTGCCGGTGCACTACTCCGCCATGCACGGCCGGTCCACGTCGCGCCTGCCGTGCTGACCGTCGAATACACGACATATCGTCGTCCCGCGGCGAGCCCCTGTCCGCGGGTTCCTTCCGCACGCTCTTCGCTCTCGAACGAACTGCGCGCGATGTTCCGCGGGCGCTGGGAACGCTGATCGACGAAGACACGACGTATCGAGTTCCGGCGAGCGACGTCGTGGGTGTGCGAGAGAGCCCGAGCGCCGGGTATAGCGAAGACAGGACAGATCGAGTCCCGGCGAGCAGCGCGAGCGGGTGCCGGTTGATAACGCGGCAGACGGGTGCGTCGGGTGTCCTTCGCTTCTGGATGCAGGTACTGACGTGGCGCGGCCACACAGCCCCCACCACCGACTCGATGGAAGCTGCGGACCGACGCGGCAGATGAGATTTCATCCGAACTACTCACTTCGGCAATCGCACACTGGACAGGCCGTGCTACTTGCGGTTACCAATCACTCTCCCATCGACAAAGCGAGAGAGCGTCGGGCGTCGGAAGGTCGAGTTCCGGCGAGATTGCGCCTACCACGGGTGCGAGATGATAGGTTAGTCGGGCGCACTCACCTCTTGCACACAGAGCCGGCGTCATGAGCACCGAGGACGACTCACCAGGGCAACGGTGTGATGCGCAGCTGCGGACGAAGGCGGCAAACGAGTAGGATCCTTGGTGAGTACGAGTGATACTTGTAGGACATGCGGACTGCTCACCTTGGGCGCCTCGCGGTGGTATTTTCTGCGCAGACAGTCGACTGTCCCTGGTCTTCGTTGACTTGGCCATGAACAACCCGGCCGCGAGATGAGTAGAAAGGAGGAACGGGGGAGTTCTGGCGCATCCTCAAGTGATAGGCGCTGGGTGATGGCGACAACGTGAGTATGTGCATCTGCCAAAGAAAGACGGATGACTGACGAGGAGTCGTCTGCTGCGTTATCAACTGGTGGGCATGTTATAGTGATGGCGCGGGACGCGTCGACGACGGGATGACGTCTGCCGCACTATTGCATGGTGAGCTGGACCACGAGACTCGAGAGACGCGTCACTGACGAGAGCGCGTTATCGGCCTGTAGTTGGTGGTTGTGTCTGCAGACCCGACGCGAGAGGGTGAGCACATGCTGCGTGTGGCGTCGACTGAGAGCAGGGATCTGTTTTGCCATGCGAGTGTCCCTGCGGGGAGGCGGACGTATGGTCGTGCATAAAGAAAGAGAGACTGACGTTTGAAAGAAGGCAACTTTTTCACGTCTCCAGCCAATCAGCGTGCGAGGATGCGTGATCGGACGCGCGCTCCACACGATCGAGCGCCCGTGCGAAATCGCGACCTGGACGCCTGCCCACTCTCCCCACTGTGGCAACCACGACGAGCGTCCTCCGCCCACTGCCTCTGCTCGTCACCGTCAGCGACGAGACGACAGCCTCGACGCTGGCGACCACGATGCCCGCTCTCCTGATACACAACCCCGTCTGTGGTGC